ATGTGAATGCTGTAGGCCCAAACGATATACCCACTAAGTATTTAAGAAGTTACGAAAGTTAGGGACCCAGATGCTGTGCAGGATCTTCATTGTTATAATGACAGAAGGGAATATGCCAGATTCTAGAAGGAAAGCATTCTTGTACAAATATTCAAAAGAAAGGTCAATGGGAAAGACTAGAGAAACTATAGAGGCATAAAGTTGCTGAATCATACAATGAAACTTTGGGAAAGAGCTGCGGATAAGACTGAGAGCAGACATACGAATAGGGTAAGAACAGTTTGCATTTATACCGGATAGATCCAACAACAAATGCCATATTCACGTTGAGAGGCTTAATGGAGAAGTTTAGGGAAAAGAGAAAAGATTTGTACATGGCATTCATCGACGTAGTAAAAGCTTAAGACAGAGTTCCAAGAGAGTTGATATAGTGGTGCTTAAGAAAAAAGGAATGTACTGGAACTGCATGTGAGGCTGATCCAAGAAATATATGAAGGAGTGAGAACATCTGTAAGAAGTTTAGCAGAAGATTCAGATTACCAGTAGAAATAGAAGTTTATTAAGGAGCTTTTTCCTTTTCATAATGGTGCTGGACACAGTGTCTAGGGGCATACAAAGAGAAGCACCATGTTATTAGCAGATGATGTTGTACTTTCTGGAGAGAACATAAATGAAGTACAAGAGGTACTAATCTGCATGGCCACTGCACACAGCATAATAATTACAGGTTAGCTGGAAGAGTTAAGTTTTTTGTTTTTCAGCAAAACAGTTTTAAACATCCTAACATCACCAAAATAACCAATCCCATTCATATTCAGTGCACAAGATTCCAGGCTGCAGACAGCTGAAGCCTGGAATAACGGTTTCAGGTTAGGAAGTGGCTAATAGACCAAACAAAACAGTAAGAATTCATGTAAATCCATTTACTTAGTTTGAATTTATCAACTTCATATTCTGTTGTTTTTTGTATGTTGGCTTGTTTTTTTTAACATACAACTCCAGAAATGAGAATTTATGAGTTTCTCTCTGGCTGAATGATGTAACATCATCACGGAGCTTGTTGTAATATATCAGTGTAAATATCTACCTTAAGGCTTAAGTATAATATGTTGTACATTTATAAATAGCAAAGAGTATGATAAATATTATGATGCCAATGTTTTTATATAATTAACATTTTGGGGCACAGCATTTTAGTGTTATGATCTCTGATAAAATTGCATTCCATTGCTTAATATGGTAATCGTAACTTAAATAAATATTCTAAAACATAGATACTCAAATGCAGCACCATCTTTACAAAATTGAGTGGAATTAATACATCTCTACCCACTGTAGAAGTCACTGATAGTGTAAGGAAAGCTGAGTTTTTTGCTGTTATGGCTAACGAGACTAGAGACTGGTAAAAAAGTTTTTTTATATGTATATGTATTGCAGATGAATAACCAAATGTGAAAGACAAATTTCTGCCCTTTGAGCATGCCAAAGATCTCACTGCAGACGTTTTGTAGGCTTATTACCAATAAGTTTCACAGCCTTAGACTGGACAAAGCAACTGGGGCTTCTGTCGTGTCAGGCAAGTGTAATAGAGTACAGGCCAGGCTGGGTTCATCCTCACACAGTTTACAATCGTTGTCAGGCACGTAGACTTAACCTTGCTCTAGTTGATACAGTGAAGGATGTCAAAGTGGCTAGAAATTTTTTTAACTTGTATAAGCACTTGTGGTTATCAGCTCAGCCTTCAGTGCATGAAACATTTGTGACATTGTAAGAGACAAAAAATTTAAAAGTTAGAGAACTTTCATGCATTTCAGAAACAAGATGGGCTTGTCAGTGGAGAGTGGTTTCTGCAGTTAAGGAAAGGTTTCAATGTACAACAGTGTTTGGAGAAAATTGCACAAGGAGACAGTAACAACTTCATGGAAGCTAAGAGATTTCTAATGCCAATGTTGACATGAAGCTTTGTTGCTAGTTTGTTTGCATTTTACTCTTCTGGGTACCAATAAAAATACTCAGTATCTATTGTAGAATCCTGAACTGGATCTTGCTAATGCCATACAGCTAGTAAATTATGTGAAGCAAGCATTTAGTCACAAAAGAATATCAGAAACTTCATGGGATGAACATTGGTCACAAATTACAGATTTGTGCAATGACTATAGCATTTCTTTGGAACTTCCAAATGACAACAGAAAATGTAAGAGAAGAGAGCTATCAGGGTTTCTTTACACAGACACCACAGGACAACATGATGAGCCAAGCAGAAAATCAAATAGTTGTTTAATGATTGAGATGTATCTCCCTGTAATTGATCATTTCACACATGAATTAGGAAGATGTTTCAGTGATAAAACTAGTGACTTACTATGAAATATGCAACCATTAAGCCCCACTTGTAGTAATTTCCTGGACAGTCGTGAAATTTCTATTGTTCTTGACAAATATGGTGGTGCCCTTTCTATAGGTAAGAGCCTTCTAAAGGCAGAGGTAAAAGTTGCATAAGCAGTCATTTATAGACATGCAGGCAGTGGCCTCTCACTTATTAAGTATTGGGAGTTTTGTGAGTGCAGTGAGTTTTCCAAATTTCTGGAAATTACTTAGACTATCATTGACATTTCCAGTTACAAGTGTGAGTTGTGAATGCTCCTTTTCTGCATTAAAGAAAATAAAATCCTACTTACGAACTACAGTGTTGCAATAAAGACTGTCAAGTCTTAGCCTGATTTGTATGGATAAAGAACAGGTCAAAGATCTTAACCAAGATATGATTTTGTATCTCTTTGCTTCAATGGGCCCAAAGTCAATTGTTTTGCATCAAGAACTTCAACATTGCAAACCTGTACAGCAATGTATACAGGTCTGGGTAAAATAACTTAAGTCAAATAATTATACTACAAAGTTTATTTGCAAGTTTTATTGTTCTGTAGACCTTATTTTGTGTTTTTTTTGTTGTTTGTGTGAAAAACTACAAAAAAAACATATCATTTTGTTGTAACTGGAATTGATGAACAAAAGTCATACAATTTTCTAAAGTGAAAAATCTTGTAAAATTTTTAACCCAAGAAATGTGTTTAGTACTTTATTTAATTTTGGTTTAATAAGATAATTGAACTAATTCACTATCTTTTCATGCTATTTTTGTATGTGTGTATTTCTTGTGTGGCATAACTTAGCACGTGTTGATTAAAGCTCTTTCTCATAAACCACTCACAGGTGCAATATACAGGATCAGATACATATTCAGTGTGTATATCTACATCTAATATTTAGTTAGGCATAACAGTGACTTCAGGGAAACTGCTATGAAAGCAAACACAGAATCTTCACCTTGGCTCCATTCCTCACATGCTAAGCCCCCTAATAATTATTTCTGAAACTGCCCCTGATTTAAGCAACTAGATTCCAAGTTACTACATCAACATTATTTTGATTATCAAACATAAAATGAAGCTATCATTTAAAACTTTCAGGGTTACAAAGAGAGAGTCTAGTTCTAGCTCATTCTATACTTTTGGTTCAGAAACAGTTTACAAAAGTACACAAGAAAGGTAACTGCTAATTAACAAATATAATTTAATAGAAAAACATTTGACAGTAAGGAACTATCAACTACATATTTCTCTGTGTAACACATCTTTTCTTTGTCCAAAACCAAGTAATATCTAATATGTACATTTTATACAATAATTCAAAGTTAAATCAACAGTAACTTTTCATTTACTGCTCAGGAACAAAATCTCATACATTTTCAGATTGTGTGGGCTTTTCCATTAAGCCTAAACTGCTCAACACATTTCTCTGGTCTATAACAAAAATACATTGAATAATAAAAGATTATGATTTAACTGAAAGTATAATCTTTAATGTGCTCTGAAGCTAAAAATATCAGACAACTTTCAACTCTGAACAGTTTAGACCTGCTAACAGAAGTTATACCTACAAAGTACTTTGTACTTATTAACATATTTATAACATAAAATCATGGGTGATCATACATTTCAAAATTAGAAATTACAAATCTTTTCAATTTACTACTCATAAACAGATTTTGGGGAGATAAATATTTATTTTCCACACTGAGTTTACCAGTTTCTAATGAAACATTGTATATGATTGTTATTGAAAGAAAAATTCACTCAAATAATACTACAAAAATAATGAGTAATAAAATTTTATAATAACCCATACTTTAAACAATAAAATTTATTTCTACATGCTTTTTTATAACACAATTAGAAAGTAATTTATCCATTTAGTATGTAAAAATGCTATTAAATTTTACTAATTTTAGTACAGCTTAGAGAAGTGTACCAGTGTACAATTCATACATAATAAACAAGATGATCAATGTAAAATTTATATTTATTATTTATTTACATTTAGTAATTATGAAGTTTCTACAAAACATATTTTAATTATCTGAGACAAAATGTCTGATAGTGTAGTTGTTCTGCCTGATGCTTTAGTCGTCCTAATTCTTCTTGAAGTATATCAGTAATAAGCTTACGCTGTACCATCTGTTGTCAAAAAAAAGACCAGATATGTTAAAGTGAGATATTGTAAGTTCATACATATTACACTTTTATGGAACTTATTATGAATATATATATTTTTAATACTTTCAGCTACTCTGAATGCAATATTTCGCTACAGATTAAACTTAATGTAAAATATAATACGCTATTTCCTACACTGTTTATCACATAGATTCATATATAAAAAAAGTGGATTCATTTCAACTGGTAAACAAATAAGATACATACACATTTTAACCGCTGATTTTTTATTAACCTTAGAACCCTAAATAGACTCAATTATTTCAAAAGTCCTATGCTTGTATCAGAACTTAAGTCAAATGGAGGTAGAAAACTTGTGTTAATATAACCATGATCAGAAGATGACTTTCAACACTTGTAAAGTGACTAACATGATATCAGTTATTTGTTTAGAAAACCATAATAGCACTATTGGACTTCTGCTCTATTTTTAAAAGATCAAACAACAGTGGAATACTAACAGCATGAATGGAAACCATGCTAACTTGCAGGGACTGTTGCTAGGCTATGGCCTGGCAGTGTATTAGTAAAGTTAATGTTCCATATGAAACCTGTTGAATGGGAATGTTCAGAAGTGTTGAGAGACATTTTTTCAGACCTTGTACTTAAAATTTTCTAATATATTTTGGTTGTAACTATTACAACATTCAATCCTAAACTACCAATTGAATTTTTAATTTGATAAAGTGCTTTCATTTTTGACTAGCTATAGGACAGTAAATCCTAACATTACTAGCTATTCTTATTTTTCAACTTTGCTGTCCTGAAGTTTTGCCTGATATCCTAATGCTACCTTCTTAAGAATAATGAAAGAGAAAACACTTTTTTGCCAAAATCAAGGAGTTACATTTGGACAAAAAAAAAGGAAAGAATTTTAACTGTAGGATTATTATTATTAGTAGTAAAAGATAATGCTTCGTATAAAGCTAAAAAGTATTTTGATTAAAGTGTTTTTTATAGTTGAATTACAGAAAAAGGATTATGTGCTGCTGATCAGTTTGTATATTGTATTTTTTTTTTTATCAAATCATTGTTAAAGGGTAGTGCCAACACAAGGATTAGATTTCATAGATGCACAGCTCCTTTTGTTTTTAAGATTTTATTGGTTTACAAGTTCAAAATTAGGGGTCATATCAGGAATTTCTTTTATATTAGAAACATAAAACTTCTTGTTCACCAAAATTTTCATATTTTTTGTTTGCACTTACACTTGTTGAACATATATCGTACAGATAGACTTTGGAATGTCGTAACCTCATTCCTGTGCAAGTCTTATATTGTCAGAGGCCGTTTATTACTTCTGAGCATTCCCATGGAAAGTAATGTTGAAGAATTCCTTAAATCTGTGCTAATGTGTTTACTAGTAACATCAGCCATACAGATGTTTAGAAATACCCAAAGATTGTGTCTTCCTTATTTTTGTTAATGGAAGGACAAAACTACCTGGATGACAAATGCACTCTGAGAGGTTTGAACCTCTTTGATTCTGTCCTCTTCAAATAATCATATAGGGGTTGGTTCTCTCAGTCTTATTCAGTTTTAACTTGTCTCTCTTTGCACTTAGCGAGAAGTCCTACGTCTTTGTGTGAATAAATTGAGTCGTCTATGTTTTATTTGTATATGTTCAATAAATAGTTGTTTTGTTTCATTATGAAACTTGTGTCTAATCTCTTCTAAATTCAGTCAGATCATAATTCAGATTAACTCCATAATATACTTTCTGACAAATGAAGTTAGACCAGGGGCTATTCTTAACTGTACAAAATTGATGCACCCAATTAATTTTTGTTCACATGTTATAATATTGTGTTGCATGACTAGTAGTATATGAATATGTATATCATCTAAAGCTAGGATGTAAATATTTTTAAAAATATTAGAATATTTTTTTAAATCTCGATGCACAAAAAAGCAGCATTAATTTTACATGAAAAAAAATATAGTTACTCTTTCAACATTTTTCATGGTATTATATGTTATTGGACACTGAATAAACCAGAAAATGTAAACTCACAGCTGGTTGTTTTTCTTTTTTTAACTTCTCTCTCACAGACTTAAAGTTCACTGGATCTCCAATTAAAACTGTAATATCCTATGTATCAAAAACAAAATTAACACCCATACACACACAGTTACTGTTCACTTTTTTACATAAACAACTTTGTGCCAGACACTAAAAGGAAAAATAACTGATATCTTTGGGTGCCTTTTTTGGTCTCTCTCAAGCTTTACCTTCTAGAATAATATTTCTGCCAGCAGAGGGACTACAAAAATGCACAGTAGATAACAAACTGTCAGATTTTAATACTAATAAATTGAGTGAATGAGATGTGGAGAATGATATAGCTGAATTTCCTGTAGTCTTAGTGGATTATTTATAGATATGTGGATGAAAAATGTTACTCACTCTGCAGAACACAAAAAGTAAGTATTGCTATCTTACTATAATGGATGTAGTGTGCATATATGTATCTATCTGTGTATGTGACCGATATAATAAATACAATGTAGAGTCATCTACTGAATGGCATCACAAACAAAATCCATAAAAAACTCACACTTTGTGTATTCAAGATTCAGACAATTAATAAATTAATTACAGTATGTACAACAACCATTTCTTTATCACAGAACACAATTTTAAATAAAAGTACTCTTCTCACAACA